AGAGTCTGGAGATTTGAACTGAAGCAAAATCAGTGCTTTGAACAGAGACTTCTCTCCCTTCTGATCTGTAACTGATTCCTGTTGTGCTACTGGCACCTCCCTGAAATCAGGGGAATGTAGTCTCCCCTGAGAATTTTAAGCAAAAGTCAAGATTTTAAGGGAAAAGTTCAGAAAGAAATAATAAGTATCCTGGATCAGGATTCAGATTCATGGACTGAATATCCAAATATGTTTTTTACTCACTTCCCCCAAATTTTTTAGTTTTTGTATTACAAAAAAAAAAATGCTGCTGAAATTCTGTGTGGAAATTCACACTCCATAGTATGAATATTAATACAGTAGTTTTGCCCTATTTATTTTACAAATCTTATCTTTGGTGTTTTTATTCATACAGTATGCTATATTCTTAGTATTTGTGGTGAACGTCTGTTTGAATTTATCTCTCAAAAGAGATAACTATTTATACATAGCATCTTTTTTTTTTTTTCATTTCTAGCATATATTTTTAAGCTTTATAGCTTGTTTCTCGGATGAATTTTCTCAAGTTGACTCTATTATTTTATTATTATTATTTCCTCACTCAGAGTAGTTCTCTCTCCCCTCTTCCCTCTGCAGGGATAAATTAACCCTGTTAACAATTGAAAAAAATGCTTGAAAAGCTAAAGGTGTTCAGGAAAGCCGATTCTTCAGACTTCTTGCAGATTATGTATGTTTACAAACTAAATCCCTTAGCAGTGATGATGTGTGCTCCAGTTCTACTTGCCATCCAAAAATCTAGCACTAATGAAATCTACCACATTCAGAACTGAATAAATCATTTCCCAAGTTTTTTTTTTTTTCTTAATACTGCTATTTCCTGACAGCTACTGGCAAATGGTAGAAGCTCTTTTAACCTCAAAGATACTATTTATTTCCCTCTCAACAGTGATGAGATTTCTGTTAATTCTTCTCCTATACTCTTAGCTCAGTTTTAAAACCATTCTCAAAATAAAATAAAATAAAATAAAATGGATTTGTTCACAATGTACCATTGGGAATATGTTGTTAAGTTATTATTTGCTAGGTCTGAATCCAAAGTTCCTTTGTTGGCACTCTACACCCTCGAGGAATTCCTGAGTAAAGATTGTGAGATGACGAATTTGGCCATAAACGCTACACTGAATTTGCTGTGGGTGCATGCTTGAACCTGTGTCGAGGCCCACTGAAGTCAGCATGACTCTGAGCACAGCCAGAAATCTGCCCAAATGCATCGCCGGGCTGTGGCACTGATGAGATAGATACACAGTGAAAGCTGCGGTAAGGACCAGTCTCTACAGAGATGCCTTGTGTAAGGGAGCATTTACAGGTATCTTCAAGGTTCCCAAGACAAAAGTCATGTCACTATAGTTAAAGCTGTCCCTGCTAGGTAAACAAATTCTGCTTTCGGTTTCAATGGTCACTTATGGTAGGTTTCACTGTGTAAATTTGTGTGTGCATGTGTACAGGCTGGCTTCATTTCTCATGATAAGCAGGTATCTTCTGTGTTCAGATGCAATGTTTACAAAAATGACACTGATTATCATAGATACAGAGAAAGCAGAAGACAATGCCTTGCCCCTCACTTTTTAATAAAAGAATATAACTATACCAGCTTAAGAGTCACATCGCATACCAGACGAAACCTGCCATCTCTGCTATTTGATATACAGCTCATTCTTCCCCTTTTCAGTCAGTTAGAATAACATAATTTATAACCCTCAAGAAGGAATTTCTTGAAAGCCTACTTTTGGTTTTTTTTTTCTATTGTTCCACAGATTCTTTGGCAGCTGATGGCTTGGTTTCATCATTTATAGAACTAAAACTTTGTTCTAGCTTTTTGTTTGTTTGTTTGTTTTCTTTGAATTATGGTGTGCAGAAGGACAGCCTTCACCTGCTATATATATATATTTATATATATATAAAAAGATAGTGTCTCTTTAATGAAAGAAAAACGTCAATATAATGTATTACCGAATGTAAATGTAATAAGAAATAACATATAGCTCTGGTTATGTTATATGACATTTGGCTTAGCAGTATTAACATATTGCACAAAATCTGCATTTTCCCTGTTGCAGAAAATAAGATGATAAAAGACATGAGAAATATTTCTCAAAATAAATATTATTTTCTTTTTTCTTTTTCTTTTTGTCACTCATTTTAAGAAATATTTTGATATTAATTGTTTGTGAAGCCAGTTCTTTATCATGTATGTATTAGGCATACAGTACAAGGAGAAATGGAACAAGATGGCAGTTTATAGCAGTGGCAAGATGCAAATTTATTCTGGCAAAAAAGTAATATGTGCACAATATCAAGCATGCTTAAGTTTGTGCCGGGAAAACTATTACGAATGAGAAATGGATGAAATGAAATTTTGCATCATACAGGATTACGTGTTGCTTAACTTCACAGAAGAGTCTTTGTCTACTGATGTCCCAGGTGCCACCAAGGGAAGCTGCATGCCACACTACTGGAGTCAAAATGGCAACAGTACCCCAGCAGCAGTTGCCTCTGGAACATGACTCTTTGTTTTAGAAATGAAAGAAATAGATCTCAAAAAGATGACAGAGAAAATTCACAGACCTTTGAACTGCAGGCACTGACTTCAGGTGGGGAAAGGGAAGGGTGGAATTTCTTACAACTCATACTTAATAACTAGAAGTCGGTAACTGCTTCCTGTTTCATTTTGCCCACCTTTAATTTGGCTACTTCATGCCTGTGATGATGTTGTCACTGTTTTTCCTCATGTCTGTTTCTCATACATTTCTCAGATTGCATGACACGTGACCGGGTGTTGCCAAGCAGTGGAGGAGTCATATTTTTCACTGACACCAATTGAAAACATTTGATAGAAAAATAAAGAATGAAGGTTGAGGACAAGTAGGAGAGAAAAAACAAAATGTCTTAAAGATAGCCCTCTACCATGCCTCACCATGAGGCAAACCAGGAACAATAACTCTTCTTCATGTGCCAATTCAACTGGGATGTACCGGACTTGCTACTGTATTGGTACAGTGTAAAAATAGATGACAGTGTATAATGATGTGAACAAAACACGAGGGACATCACAGAATGGATGTTGGATGGCCTTTGCACAGCAGAGGTAGATAAAGGTTATAACAAACTGTTTACTGACCATACACACTTACTAGAATTAAGAGGTCAGTTGAACAAGAGCTCACCCAGTAAGAGCTTTCTCAGTAGTGTGACTCATCAGCTGTTGTACAGTACCAGAGCACTGCCCAGTTATTGCTCCATCACTTCTCAATAACATCTCTATCCTTTCAAAAATCTACATTCTACCATTTGTTAAGGCTTTTTCAATTACAATTCTACATTTTCCCCACTTTTTGCATAATTTCAACATAATTAATACATGTGTCTCTAACAGAAAATAAAATAACTAAAAAGCACCATGTTTTATTGAACAAAATATAGCATGTGCAAGGAAGGGAAGGGCAAAAAATATAGAAACAAACCAGTGCTGAAGAACTTTGCATTAGTTGGTGCTTTTTGTTTTTGTCATATCTGCACAGATCATTTTAGGCTCCTCATTTTGGATTATAGTAAAACACTATCAAAACAAATACTCTTGCAAAATATTAGAGCTCTCACAGCTTAACATGTGCATCTTGAACTGCTTAAGCAGTATGACTATCTTCTTTTTTATCTCCAGAATTGAACAGACCATAAACTGTATACAAAAACGCGTATTATGCACCAGTGATTAAATGTTCTTACAACATCAATATTTATCAAGGGGTATTTCATAGCTAGAAAGTAGGTAACTATATTTTATTTCCTAAGAGAACATTTCCTATAGATTTCCTTCATCTCCCAGCTACACAACATACATCTCTAAAGTGCACTTTCCAAGTGTAGTTAGAGAATAGGAAGGAATGTAAAGTTTTTAAAAACAGCCCTTATTAACTTTTCCTTCCATTGATTCTACTGTAAACTCTAAAAGGCCTTTTTAAAAAGCAAATTCTCATACACTCAGCAGGTGAAATGTTCCCATATAAGTAAAAGTAAACAAAATAAAAACCACCCCAAAAAATGAAAAATCAGCAATCAGATTACAATCTTTTCTCTTGACTACTCATATCCTAGTATATTCTTTACTGTTTTATTGCACATTTATTAAAATTGTTGTCCTAAGTATTTAAAATAAAATAATTTCTTTATCTGTGCTAACACATTCTTGTGCACCCTTAATAACTAGAGTAACTTTCAACAACACGCATATATTAGAAAAAAAAACAATGGGTTCAAAACCAAATAGATACTTTCTGTAGTAGATGCTCAAAGGCTTCTATGTAATTTTGCTGAGACAAAAAGACTTGAATTTTGGAAGCTCTTTGCTTCCATTCCTTATGTAAAGCTGCTGGTTATGAGACAGCAGGAGAAACTCAAAACGTAATTCACAATGAATGCCAATCCTTCACCTCCAATATGAAGGCTTCCCAACTATTGAACTTGCTGAGCATAACTGGCTATACACATTGTGTCCCAAAAAAGGCTGCTCCTGTTCAACTGACCAGTGAGAAAGGACTGGACTTCTTCAAAACAGGTATTGGAGCAACAGTTTGTTATATATCGTTTCTTTACATAAACTTTTTTTAACTGTCCAATCCCACCTTATAAGGAGAGCACTTATTCATTCAGCTAAAAGGAACCTCCTTCATGCTCCTTTTGGGTTTGCTCAGTCAACTGGTTTGTGCAACACTGGCAGAGGCACACAGGCATGGTGTACCCATTCATTGTGATTACATAGACAGAAGCAAATGCAGGTTGTCTGCTGAGGGAGATGGGGAGGGGAAAGGAGATGAATGATTCCCATGGGTAAGAGGACAGTTCGGTTTACTTTTTGTTGCTGCTTTTTTTTTCTTTTTCTTTTTTTTTTTGTATTTTGTTTTGTTCATTTTTGTTGTTGTTTTTTTTTTGTCTTTTTGTGTTTTTTTTTTGTGTTTAGTTTTTGCTATGTCATGAAATCATAGCAGTCATTCCTCTAATAGAAACTGACAGGACATAAAAGACAGAACTATCAGATGAACACACACGATGACTAGAAATATATCGACAGAGAAAAGACTTAATTTAGCTTTGAGAAACCGTCCCAAAAATAAAATCCTGTATTAACAAGTGCAAAAAACAAACAAAAAAAGAAACTCCAAACATTAAAACACAGTGTATAAAATGGTGTGAGAAATTTAAGTCACCATACAGCCTTTTAGTCAATAAAAAGCTGTGTTCATGTGTCCTTGTTTTTTGGGTAGTGGCCCAATCTTTTTATTTTACCCAAAAGGTCATTCATGAAGAGATCTGAGGGCAAAGCACTCAGTATTTGTTATATTAGACTGTAGTCCTTTGGGCCTGTTGTGTTTCTATCATATAAGACGATTCCTGTCTTTTATTCCTCATTGGTTGAATTATCTTCCAAAGTTGTTATGCCTCCAAAGCCCAGTCCTGTTGAGTTCTGTGCTGCTGAGACTGTAAGTACTGTATGTAAGAGAATTAATACAAGAACACACAGTTTAAGTCTGCTGTTACACAGTCTTGATGCTGATGAAACTGTGAGTGATGTCCTGTGACACATTGTTGAGCCACTTGTTTTTATAGTCCCTTTGGATTGATGATCTGATAATAGTCCCCATCTGACATCACAGCATTCTGGTTCTGCATTGGTTGGAAAGTTTTCATAGAGCCCTGTAGGATAAACACAAGCAAAAATTAATATCCCACAGAATAAGGTTTGCAAATATTGGCAGTTCAATGGAAAAGAATGCATTTAAGCTAAGCTATTCAGTCTAGATCTCTGAGTTAGTTTGAGGCCTTCAAAACACTTGCCATTTTTGCATAGTAAGTATTGTTGAATTCAATCCATTTTGTCTAATGTTAGTTAGTCTAATGTTAGTTAGTCTAATGATAGTTGAATCCAGTCAGACATTCAGTCCAACAGGAAGGAAACACATGAAATAGCATCAAAAAATTATTCAATAGTAGTATGAACCTGAATGTGATTGTGTAAAGATATGGAGTTGCCAAACAGTTTTTGAGTTCCTCTAGTAGTAAAACTGAAACATAAACTTCTTCCCTATTTTAGATGACTCAAACAATAAGAAACTAAACTGGACATTTTCAGAAAATTTGCCAAGATCTTCTTGAAATACTTCCTCAGTCTGTGAGGAACATACTCATAACACTGTGCATGGGAAGTTTGACATTAAAGACGAAATGAATTGGTGTTAGATCAGTACAGCTTCAGAACAATTTCACAGGAGGACTTTCCAAAGAGAGCTGTTCTGAGTTCGCCTGTTTACTCTGTTTTAACTAAGTACCTCTGGCTGAGATGTTCTTCTGTGTATATCCCAAATGTGCAAAGTCTTTCCTTCCTGTATAATAATTGGGTCTCTTGATATTTCTTACTCTGCAGCTAGGCCATTTCTGCCCTTCAAACATATTAAATTCCTCCGTCTGATCCAATTATATATTTTAAAATAGTTAAAGGAATTCCAACCTTTCCAAAGACCACAATTATCACTTTAGAAATCACCAATGCTCTCTACATTAATCTATGCAACAGTAATATGACAAGTTTACTTCTCATACATTCTTCTTAACTATAAATTAAAAGAACCAAACTTAGGATTCTTAATTAGAGGTTAAATGCAAGAATTCCAACTTAATGGACAAATATTAAGCTATTCTACTTAAACTGATGCTGGAATAAATTTTGAGTAAATATTTGCTCTACGATAGTTCTAGGTTTTGCTAGAAAATAACTTACCTGGGTTGAAATATTAAGACCAAGATTTTGAGAAAAAAGGCATGATCAACATATTTTTTGAAGTGACTGTGCTTCTAGGAGAAAGAATTAGATCTTTTTCTAAAGTATCTTGGCAATCACAAGTCATTGCCAAGTATCTTGGCAATTTCAAAAAGCACTGTGTGAGAGAATTCCTCGAGAAAGGGCTCTTAGAGAACACCAGAGTCTAACAGAAGTTATGGCATTACAGAGGCTTGCTTGAGGTGAGAGACAGTTACCACTTCCAGGATGGCTCATATGTACAGAGTCCACTTCCCCATGATTCCTTTGGTAACACAGTCTGCCCTCCTAGCACACAATAATAAGAGTAAATGAAGAGTGGAGCAGAATGGAGACACCATGGCCCAACTTTGTTGGCTTCCCTGTGAAGGGGATACTCTGATGGTGCCATGCAGACGACGAGTGAATGGAGGGTAGAGCGGAGTGAAGACACTGCAGCCAAACTGTGTTGTACTCCCTGCAGAAGTGGCAACCTGGTGATACCTCACAGCTGATAACCCACATAGTGTGATGACTGGTGCTGGGCCAACAGTGGTGGCAGATCAGTCCCTTCTGATAGACTTTGCTCAAACTTCTCCTCCTTCTAATCTCATCATAATACCAATACACAATCGCATCTCACTGAGCATGCTCTCTAGATTTTTGATTAACTTGGGAGACTCTTTTAAATCAATGAATACTGAAAGTAAATATGACTAAAGTCACTCAAGCTCCACCTAAATGTAAAAGAAAATATTAGATTTGGATGCAATCCTGTGCCATGTGCTCTAGGCGAGCCTGCATGTGCAGGGGGGTTGGACTAGATGATTTCTAGAGGTCCCTTCCAACCTTAATGATTCTATTATTCTATATAAGAGGTGAAATAAGGAGGGAGAATGGGTTAAGAACTAGGAAGGAAGAATGGGACAGTAAGAATGGAGGAAGAGGAACTAAGGAAGAACAAAAAGGAGAGAGGGAAGATTCCATTGCAACTTCTGGATCAGTCGGCAGGCCGAAGCCCTCTCCTCCCCTTGGGTCAGGACACTGCCTGAGGAGACTTCTCAAGATTGAGAGCCCTCTCCCATCTTCTGGGTGAGTGATGATTGCATATTTGTACACTAGGCACTAGCTGAGAACTCAACTCTATAGTAGAGAATTTCCTATAATGACATCTGAAACTTGTCTTCCAAATGTTGCGTTTGAATAAATTGTGCTATTTGTGAACTCGACCGCTTGTTTTGAAGGCAATCGGACCTACAGTCAACAGACTGTTGGTGAATCTGATACTGCCAGAGTTGGATATATAGCTAACACAGTATTTGATATCCCTATTAAGAGATGAGTCCAGCCGCCCCCAGTCCCTCTAACCTTTGAGAATTGGCTGGAACGCAAGGGGATTCATCTCTTACCAAATTTGCCCACCCCATCAAACCGCAACACACTGCCTACCATTTAGTCATAACATTCTTAGGTCCAGGAATCACACTGTTTACACTTCATGAGTACCTTGTAAATGAAACAGCACAGCTTAAAATGAAGTAAAACTCAACTCTTTCATTCCTTTTCCATAATACTGATCTGCAATTAAAATAAGAGTGAGTACACTGAGTATTTTAAAGTATAGACTGATACTTTTTTACATATCTGAATAAACCCCTTAACAGCCTGTTATTTTACACGAGCCCCCAAAAAGTTTCATTTCTTTTTGAATTCAGCTAAATTTTTAGAGATTCAGAAGTTAAAACAGCTTGTTTAATTTCCTGTAAAGCCAGGAAATATGTAGGAAATCATGCCATTTTATAGATATGCAGCCAGACATTTAATGCTAGATAAAAACACTTATAAATAATTTATTCTCTTTTAGATCATGGCTAAATATGTTTTGTGTTTTTTGAAAAAGAAATCTATTACATTTTGGGGCTTGTCATCAATTGTTTATTTCAAATACTACAAAACAGTTTTACTGCTAACTTCTTATTTTCTGAGAGAATATTTTGCTGTGTTTGTAGTGTGTTTTTTTGCATTATAATGTACATAATACCCCCGAAAGTAAATAGTTATGCAATCTGTTCTGTGACTGCAGTAGCTCAAACTGTTAGCGATAATTGAAGAGACATAGAAGATGGTTAATGTTTTGATCCTATTGAGGCTTGTTTGCTATTCCAACTATATTTCCTACTTTTCTCATTATAAGATAACCCAGACATCCTTTGAAATCAAAGTCTCTCTAAATATACAAGTTAGCAATCAAAAGGTATTTAAATTGTTCATATAGAGTTAATGAATTATGAATAAATTCAATGGAGCACCTTATTCAAAGCTACATTTTGTTCCTTACTACAAAATTGAATTTGCTCAGTGCTTCAATTCAGCAATTGAATTTAGTCTCTGAATATACAGTTACATGTTTCATAATTAATTAACTACAGAGTCTGTCTTTGTATGACAGTTTCACAGCATTTAGCATTTTTTTTCAAGACTTTTGCTTAGAAATAATAAAACTTCATTACTGTGCCTTGCTGTCATACTATCATCTTTGGCCTCCTTGAGCTAATCAGTTAGCCTATTATTTCAAAGGTTTACAAATATGTGACTTTATCAGAGGCCCTGCATTACATTTCGCAGACATGAGTCTGGGAAAATAGAAGTGAGAGAAAAAAAAAAAAAAGGGTTCTTCTATTCAAACTTTCTATACTTGAACAGAGTTTGGGGCAAGGAATGAACACTCACATTATCTGCTTCTGTCTTTACAGCTCAGCTTGTGGATGTCATTTTTCTGTCGTGCTGGGTGCTTGATAATTATATTTCTGAGACTGGATACTTTTCATGACTGGAATCTTACTTTGCTTTTCATATATTTTTGCTTACATTTCTCACTGTATCACTTCTGGATATCCATTCTCTAATTTTCCCCAACCCTCTCTAGAGTTTCACCAGACAAGATCTTGAATTTTGAAACCTGATCTTAATCAAAGATCTAGAATTTGAAAAGATCATTGTAATATCAAACCACTCTGCAGGCAGATATGTCCTGATTCACGAAGGTCATACAAAAGCAATCTTTTTTGTTGTAACAAGACACTTCCACATGCAACATTCTGATCAGCAACTCAACAGCCATATCTGTAGGGAGTGCGTTGCTGCACCTAATAAAAGAATTAAGGCTACTCATTTGACTGAGATTATGTTAATGAGACATGACTGCAGATCAATTCCATGTATCCTACCCAGGTGAATCATACTGAAAGAAATAGGTATGATGACATAAGCATCAGGTTTATGGGAAATGCAACAAAACATCTATTGTTATAAAGGAATGAAAACTGTAAGGATCATGCACGGTCTGCTAGCCTGCTAGGTCACCAGCTAACTCAGAGCTGTGGTTTCTGTATGCATTTCTTTTGCATAGACATCAGTATGAAAAAGGGTTTGTTGCATTTGTAGGTCTCACACCACTACAGTCCGGATGTTAGTTATGCATATAGCTGGATCTCTTGGTTGACCTGGGTTTGACCACTTGTTGGTTTCTTTGGTGCAAAAGAAACCATGGAACCATAGTCATATCCATCTTCCATTCACCATCAAAGAAAATCGTTGTGATTGATATACTGGTTGTTGTAATTTGAATGATAAGTATTTTGGAAAGCCAAAACAGTTAAAATGGAGGTTTGTTTTGTTTTGTTTTTGTTTTTTCCTTCTCTCTCATTTTCTTATGGTAGAACTTTGAATTAAAGTCCTTTTTACATAGATTCCTGATTTATTTTTAGACATATACCAAGCTTCTTTACTTGAAGAGAAGAACATGAACAAGAAAATAAATCCAGGGAAATGGATTCTTCTTTTGGTTTACCAGAAGTTCTGAGTGCTCCATTTTGTAACAAAGTGCAAGGTACATAATGTC